CTGGACCACCAGGGAAGTCCTAAAATGTATTCTAAATAAAAACTCTGAACAGACGAGGAATAAAAGGGAAATTCTCCAACATCACACTCAGTGGTGAAAAACTGAATGTTTTCCCCTTTAAGATTGGTAAGGCAATAATGTTCACTCTATTTTTAATCAACATCATACTACAAGTTCTATTCAGGGCAATCAGACAAGAAAAAGAAAAAGTATCCACATTTGAGAGAAAGAACTAAAACTATTGTTATTTGCAGGTGACACAGTTCTGTATACAGAAATTCCTAAAAAATCCACCCAAAAAAGAAGAGGAAGAAAGAGAGAAACTACTAGAATTTAACAACTGAGTTCAGCAAGGTCTTGGACTATAAGAACAAAATATAAAAATCAACTGCATTTCTATATACTAGCAATGAAAAATCTGGAAATAAAAAGAAAACAATTACATTAGAAATAGCATCAAAATAATAAAACACTTAGGAGTAAATTTAAAAGAAGAAATTAAGACTAGTACACTGAAAACTATAAAACATTCCTGAGTGAAATTAAAGATCTAAGTGAATGGAAAACATTCCATGTTTATGACTGGAAAGATTCAATACTGTTAAAAAATCGATTCTCAAACTGATCTATGACTGTGTGTGTGCTCAGTTGCTCAGCTGTGTCCGACTCTTTGCAGCCCTATCGACTGTAGCCTGCCAGGCTCCTCTGTCCATGAATGTTCCAAACAAGAATACTAGAGTGGGTTGCCACCTCCTTCTCCAGAGGATCTTCCCAATCCAGAAATTGAACCCATGTCTCCTGCACTGGCAGGCAGGTTCTTTACCACTGAGCTGCTAGGAAGCCCAAACTGATCTACAGAGCCAACAAAATATACAAACCACTAGCTAGCTTAATCAATATACAAGGATAAAACACAAATAAGATTTTTGAAAAACCATAAAAGACTACTTTGCAGACCTCCAAATGTATTTTAAAACCTAAACATAATGTATAATCTCCTCCTGCTGCTGCTGCTAAGTTGCTTCAGTCTGTGTGACTCTGTGTGACCCCGTAAAAGGCAGCCCACCAGGCTCCCCAATCCCTGGGATTCTCCAGGCAAGAACACTGGAGTGAGTTGCCATTTCCTTCTCCAACGCATGAAAGTGAAAAGTGAAAGTGAAGTCGCTCAGTCATGTCCGACTCAGCGACCCCATCGGCTGCAGCCCACCAGGCTCTTCCATCCATGGGATTTTCCAGGCAAGAGTACCGGAGTGGGTTGCCATTGCCTTCTCCATATAATCTCCTAAGGAAATACAATTCAACAAAATTGATGCTGTTAGTGGTAAACAGTTTGAACAGACCACTTTCTATTAAAGAGAGAGAGAGAGAGAGAGAGAGAGAGAGAGCTAGCAATGAGCTATCACCAATGAAAAGCAATGGCTTAGATGATTTCACAGGAAATTCTACCAAATTCAAAAATTAAGTATCCCATGGCACCATTAAAGAAAACTTTTTTTATTCTTTTTACAAAGCAAGCACAGCATTGATACCTAAACCCATAAAGAAAGCCATGGATGAATGAGAAGGCAGTTCAGTCGTGTCCAGCTCTGTGCGACCCCACGGTTGGTGTTAGCTTTCATTTCCCTGATGACTAATGAGGGTGAGTTCCCTTCCAAATGATTATGAGTGATCTGATCAACTATTTTGTGAAGTGCTTATTCCCCATTCTTCTGTTGGATTGTCTAACTTTTTCTTACTAGTTTGTATACGTTTGTATACACATTCTAGTTATAGGCCCTTTGTCAGTTATACGAAACATGTGGCAAAAATCTTCCAGTGTCTTATCTTTTCACTTTCCTCTGTGTGTGTGTGTGTGTGTGTGTGTGTTCTCAGTGGTGTCTGACTCTCTGTGACCCCACGGACGGCAGCCCACCAGGCCCCTCTGTTCACAAAATTCTCCAGGCCAGGACACTGGAGTGGGTTGCCACTGCCTTTTCCAATAGATGATTACAACAAAAACATTGACACGAAGATACTAAATAATAAAAACAGAGTCTAATACCACAAAGAAAACAATATGCAATAATCAAGTGAGATTAATTCTAGGAATGTAATGAGTTGGTTCAATAATAGGAAATTCACTAATAATGAATTTCTCCTTATAAGGAGAAAAATTATGCAATTATCTCCCTATATCTTTATTAATAAATGGGCCCTGACAAAATTCAACAACTTTTCCTGTTAAAACACTGACAAAAATAGCAATTAAGCCAGGACTTGAAGTTTGAAGCTTCAAATATTTCATGTGATGGGGAAACAGTGGAAACATTTACTAAGATCAGGAACAAGGCAAGGTTGCCTACTGTCTCTACTATGACTCAACATGTTACTAACTGGTAGCATTAGTCCAAGCATTTAGGTAAGAAAAATCAAATAGAGGCAAGAGAATTGCAAGAAAAGAAGTAACACTATATCATATTTGAAGATGATCTGATAGTATATCCAAAACCTAGAGAATTAAAAATAATATTAACTCAAATATTTAAAAAATTCAATAAGGAAGCAGGACATGAAATTAACATACAGAAATCTATAGCCTAAAAATAGATGAATAACTGGATCATCGAAAAAGCAAGAGAGTTCCAGAAAAACATCTATTTCTGCTTTTTTGACTATGCCAAAGCCTTTGACTGTGTGGATCACAATAAACTTTGCAGCCATGAAATTAAAAGGTGCTTACTCCTTGGAAGGAAAGTTATGACCAACCTAGACAGCATATTAAAAAGCTGAGACATTACTTTGTCTACAAAGGTCCATCTAGTCAAGGCTATGGTTTTTCCATTGGTCATGTATGGATGTGAGAGTAGGACTGTAAAGAAAGCTGAGCGCTGAAGAACTGATGCTTTTGAACTGTGGTGTTGGAGAAGACTCTTGAGAGTCCCTTAGACTGCAAGGAGATCCAACCAGTCCATCCTAAAGGAGATCAGTCCTGGGTATTCATTGGAAGGACTAATGTTGACGCTGAAACTCCAATACTTTGGCCACCTGATGTGAAGAGCTGACTCACTGGAGAAGATCCTGATGCTGGGAAAGATTGAGGGCAGGAGGAGAAGGGGATGACAGAGGATGAGATGGTTGGATGGCGTCACCGACTTGATGGACATGGGTTTGGGTGGACTCCGGGAGTTGGTGATGGACAGGGAGGCCTGGTTTGCTGCAGTTCATGGGGTTGCAAAGAGTCAGACATGACTGAGCAACTGAACTGAACTGTAAGTAGAAGAAGCCCCACTTGACGAATACTTTTAACAAAAAGTATGCAAAACTCTTAAGAAAAACACTTCTGAAAGACACAAAAGTAGAGTTGAATAATGAAAAAAAATCTCTGGATAGGACAGACCAACATCACAAAGATGTCAGTTCTACTTAATTTATCAATTTAATGTAACATTTAGTTTTTTAAAAGGCTTTTATTATGAGATAAACAAGTTAACAAAGTTTTTATAAAGAGTCCCAATAGTCAGGAAGTTACAGGAAAAGAAAACTACAAGAGGAGGGGACCAGCCCTACCAGACTTCAAAACATACTTTAAGTCTTCAAATAAAAGAGTATGGTCTTAAGTACTTTTCCCAAGGTAGAGTCATGCAATATATGGGAAATGCCTACTAAATATGATTGACCTTGGGAAATGCTGCATTTCACATTCCCTTCTTGAATATTTACAAGGCATTTAGCATGTTAAAGATTCCTGCAACAAAGGATTTATCTTTTCTTTAAAAAGTAGTAAGGTCTTGGCACTTGTATTGATAAACACCAAAGGAACAGAAGTCCAGAAAAAAAAAAGTATATGGAAGCTTAAATCTTATGCATAAATGTGGCATCTCAAAACTCTAGGGCAAAGATAGATTTCTTTGTTTCTTCAATAAACAGTGTTGGGACATTTATTTTGGAAAAGAATAAACCAAATCCAGACCGCATACCACACATTACAAATAAATCAGGAATCTAAATATAAAAATGATACACAATCACTAGAAGGCAAATTCAATTCCTTAAATTTGTGTACCATTTGTTTCCTGATAGAACAATATCTTTATGTATATGAATTGTTTCTTGATAAATACTGTACTATTTTTTAATAACTTAAGAACAACAAAGAATGCATAATTTCCTAATAACCCTCTAACAAACTTTGAAAATGTGAGTTCAGTTTGATTCCCCTTTTCCATTTCCTTTATGCTTTGGCAGTATGACTGTGCTGCTGCTGCTGAGTCGCTTCAGTCGTGTCCGACCCTGTGCAACCCGATAGACCGCAGCCCACCAGGCTCCCCTGTCCCTGGGATTCTCCAGGCAAGAACACTGGAGTGGGTTGCCATTTCCTTCTCCAATGCACCGAAGTGAAAAGTGAAAGTGAAGTCGCTCAGTCGTGTTCAACTCTTCACGACCCCATGGACTGCAGCCCAACAGGCTCCTCCGTCCATGGGGTTTTCCAGGCAACAGGACTGTAGTGGGGTGCCATTGCCTTCTCTAAATGGAAATTAAACTTGAGCTTCACACACTTCAGATACAAATTTACCTAATCAAGAACAGGACACCAATAATTCATTTTGCAGACATGATACAGTTTTGCTCCTACAGGTCCATGTATAAGAACCTCAGGCATTGAAAAGAGAGTTAACTGATGTTTCTGGAGTTTAGCCCTTTAGACAAATGAATTCCCAGTGATGATTATGATGATGATAGCAGCTAACATCTATTAACGCTTTACTTCGCACTGCATTAAGTATTTTATATTATTACCTCTTTTAGTTCTTCAGACAACCCTTCAAGGTAGGCAGTAACGAAACGGGGCTCTGACAAGTTAAACAACTGTCAGTGCCCCACAAGAAAACTGTCCCTCAGGTGTTACCATTCTCCAAACTTGGGCAGGTTTCCCTCCCTCCCACTGTCACACTGACCCCCTGGTCCTGCCTGACCCTCTCCGGGGTCAGGGGACAGACTCCACCCGCCAGACCCCCACTTACATTCAGCAACCGGTACCCAGGACCCTCCTTGAACTCGACTCTGGACAGATCAGAGGGCTTGTCCTGCTCCTGGACGTTCCAGGCTGTAGAAGAGAATTCCGACCCCCTCGCTTGCATGTTTTCCAAGTGGGTTTGGGAAATTCTCTGACATAACGGCGCTGCGTGCAGGGAATGGACCCGCCTGTTGTGATTGTCTTCTGTGTTGGAAACCTTAGCCATGTCTTGGGGCGGCTCCATCCCTGCATCCTCGGCTGGGCAGGTCTGCGCAGTAACCGACTGCCGGCTACTGCGCAGGCGCAGCCCTCCCGACCTTTCCCGCGCTCTTCCCGCGCACGCACCCGCACCCTTCCCGCGCACGCACCCGCACCACGTGACCTGCACCTTCAGGCCGGCCTCTGCCCCGGGCTGGAGCAGGGGCTGTGCCAGATTCAGCTTCAAGCCCTTGCTTAGGCCGTTTCAGCCTCCCTTTGAAGGAAGTCTGAGCTTGCTGGCTGACAGCAAACCTCCTCAGCACGGCGATTGAATTTAGATCGTTTCCTGCCTGCCCCTTAATCCATCATAAGCCCTCCCTCTTCTCCCTTCACCTCCGAACACCTCCGAACACTATCCCTGAGTTCCGGATGCTATATTTTTAACAGTTTACTTGGATACTTTTACTCGACTGTCCCATAGATTAATAAACAACACGTTAATATTCATCTTCCTTCTCAGACGTCTATATGACAGAGTGTAGCTCTGTCATATCCGCAAAATCTTAAAACTTCAGTTTTGAATTCAAATCCTAAATATTTTGAACCCTACTCTTCCTGTTTACGGCACCTCATTTAGGGTATCTCACATAGACGACTGCAGTGGTTTACTGCAGGGGTCCCTGGCCTACTGTCATCCACTCTTCCCACTGCCCCAGTGTTCATGCAGCTTACCTTTTAAAACACACAAAATCAGAAATTTTCAGAGTTTCTTTAATCGGCCACAAAATATTCTTTAATACAGAAACCAAGGGACTCCAAATTGCTCTATACCACCTCAGGATCATTTCTTATGGCTATTCTACATGGAATCAGGTTTTCTTTTACTCAAAGGCCACCTCAGAGTTTAGCCTTTGGTTAAGTTTTATAACCCCACACACATATCCCCAAAGCAGAATTAACCACTGTCTCCAAGCTTCTACTTGGCGTATTCCTATTAGTGGGCACACACTATTAGAGTTAGTTGTTAATTTCAAAAGATACAGTTCTTGGAGGTAAAAATCTGATCCTCACTTTTCACTCTTCAGGGCTCACTCACGATTGCTCAACATCCTTGACTTGTTTGCTGTCATTCTGGGTCGTGTTTAATGACTGTTCAGAGACTTGCTGCCACCAGCACACTCCGACTTCCTTAGGGTTCATGTGATGCAACAAAAATCTAACCTAAATCTAACCAAACCTCTAGCCCTAACTTCTGGGCTATAGGAAATTCAGGAGATACAAATTGGATGATACTCTCAGGAGAAAAAATTAAATAAAAATATAGGTAGGACAGTTATAAAAAAAATTGATTTGGATTCTTCATACACACACACACACACACAATGTTGTGGGAATGTGTAGAATGGTATGGTCACCCTAGAAAAAGAGTTTGGCAATTTCTTAACAAACTAAACATAAAACTACCATATAACCCAGGGGTTGTACTCCTGGGTATTTTTGTTGTTGTTCAGTCACTAAGTCTTGTCCGACTCTTTGTGACCCCATGGACTCGAGCACGCCAGACTTCCCTGTCCTTCACCATCTCTTGGAGTTTGCTCAAACTCATGTCCATTGAGTCGGTGATGCCATCCAACCATCTCATCCTCTGTCATCCCCTTCTCCTCCTGCCCTCAATCTTTCCCAGCATCAGGGTCTTTTTCGATGAGTTGGCTCTTTGCATCAGATAGCTAAAGTATTAGAGCTTCAACTTCAGCATCAGTCCTTCCAATGAATATTCCCAGTTGATTTCCTTTAGGATAGATTGGTTTGACCTTGTGAGGAGACTTGCAAGAGTCTTCTCCAGCACTCCAATTCAAAAGCATCAGTTCTTTGGTGCTCAGCTTTCTTTATGGTCCAACTCTCACATCCGTACATGACCACTGAAAAAACCATAGCTTTGACTATACGGACCTTTGTTGGCGAAGTGATGTCTCTGGTTTTTAATAGGCTAAGTTGGTCATAAACTTTCTTCCAAGGAGCAAGCATCTTTTAATTTCATGGCTGCAGTCTCTGTCCGCATTGATTTTGGAGTCCAAGAAAATAAAATCTGTAAAATTCACATTCATTCAAAAACCTATACACAAATTTTCATAGTAGTTTTATTCATAAATAAAAAAGTGGAATCAGCTCAGATGTCCTTTGACAGGTAAATGGTTAAGCTTCAATATGTTGCAATGTAACTTTGCAATAAAAAGGGATGAACTATGGCCTTACAACATGGGTGAATCTCCAGGGGATACATTGAGCAGAATAAAGCTAATCCCAAAAGATTACATATTGTATAATTCAACTTACTACTGAAATTATAAGATTTAAGAAATAGAAGACATTAGTAATTGCCAGGGCTTGGGGTAAGGGATACGAGAGATTCTTACAGCTTTTAGACTTGGTAGAGACACAAACATACACAATTGATAAAACTGTATAGAACTTAATATATACATAGACACACACACACATGTGACAGTAGGGGGATTCCCTTTTCAGCAGCTCCTGACAGCTGGAGAATACCTTATAGACAAGCAAGATATTCCTAGCATGGCATGTGTATCAAATTGAGACCTATTCTCAGAGCCACCCAGCTCCACCATCAGCTTCTCAGTCCTCTACTGTTCCACAGCATTCAGTGGGCTGCTCATCAGGGCAGGCTCAGTTTCACTGAGGTGCCCAAGAGACCCTGAGACATCTTGTGCCACAGTGAGCCTTCATGTCTTCAGCTCTAAGTCTCATATCAGTTGCGGCACCAACAGATATAGTTTTGAGGGGTTTTTTTCCGTTGCGGGCCCCCCTTGAGGGTTGGGTTTTCCTTGAGGTTCAAGGTTTTTTTTGCCAAGGACTTTGGGACCGGTTTTGTTGATTTTTTCTTCCCCTTGTTTTTCTTTTAAAACAGAGGCAGGGGATAAGGTCTGCAGAGGTCAAATGAGTGTTAACTTAATAAGCTCACAGGCCTCTTCTTTACTCTCCCGAGCTCTTGGCCAGTTTGGTTTTTCTTTTGCTATATATGTTTCTTAAAGCTCCCTAAATGATTCTGATGTGCAAGCAGATATGGGAGCTACTGGTATAGGTCTTAAAAAAATAAGCTTTTACAATTATAAAACTTCTCAAACAGAAGTTACACTTCCTTCTTATTAGCCATCTTTCAAGCTAAATTACATTTTACTTATTACATGATACACAACCACTGAACCAGTTTCAAAAATGACAAAATTCATATTTCAATTTATTCGGTCAGAAAACATGAAAAATAAATAATGAAGGTCCTTTTCCTCCCCTTCTTCTCTATTCTCTAAATTTATGTTTAAACCTGATAGATATTTTGTAACACTAAAGTTATGGCTTTTTAAAAGCACTGTATTACTGCTTTTAAAGATAATGATTATAAATGCAACTAATCTGAAAAAACAGGAAATAAACACTTTCACCTTGTTGGTTTGTAGTTCATTATCTCCTTCATCATAAACACAATAATGCTACAGAAATGAATGTTTAGGTATAAATTGCAGATACAATTTTAACATTTTCCATAATCCTGAGAAATGTTTCAGTATTTTATAATCAAAAATCAATTCCAAATACATCTGTACATATATAAAAATACATTTAAAAACAAGAATGGGAAAAATTCTAAATACGAGGTCATTACTCAGAAGATGAGTTGGCACTATGAAGAGGCTTTGATTCCTTTATCAGGATATTCTTCCACATCTGAGGAGAACATCAACTCTGGGAGAGAAAATGAACAAATCATACTTAAAATGATTTCCCAGCATCTCAAAAAGAGTTTTATAACTTACTAATGAACAGTTTTAAAATATTGACATATTATATAATAGAATTATAATTCTTTATGTTATAAATTATTATAAATTATTTATATATAATTATTATTATCATATTATATAAGTCTTACTTGAGCACAAGTAAGATTTCTTGATAGTGAACTCTGAGTTTTAAAAGATGAACTATTGACAAATGTACAAGTTTTGCATTTTGAGATGTACAAGTTTTTAATGCATTGTAACTCCTGAAAAATAAAATATATATAATAGAGACAATATAATAACTCATACCAGGAAGTTTAAGTCACTTAGAGAATCCAGGATCATTAAACGGCTAAAGAAGTCTAATTCTGTAGTGATCGTGATAACCTAAAATATAGGACACAAACATAGAGGAGGACCTGGAACTAAGATTAGGTGTGTGCCAGGAAAGCTTAAATATGTGACCCCATTTAATTACCATAAACTCCCTTTAAGTATTATCTTCCTCATTTTATATTTGCTTTTTTTTATCCATATGGAAATGTTATTTGACTCACATAACCCTAAAAGAGAGCAGGATTCTGGAAATATAAGTAACATACACTTTGTGATTAAGACTGAATACTGCATAAGCCAGCTGAATGTAGCTTCAATCCCAGTGGAGAATGTTATTAATTGGCATTTCGACATTTAAACTATCACTAAGGATAGTCCCATAGTTTACTAAAATACCAAGAAATATTTAAAAAAAGAAAACCTTATAAATTTAGTAAAATAAAGTCCCGATGTAAACATTAGATGAAAAAAAAATTTTTGAGTGATGAAAAACTACACCAAGTTAAAGAAAAACTGTGAACTACCTAAAGCCTAAGAAGATTTTTAAAAAATATTTTAAATATATCGAAAAGGAATAGTTAGTGAATAACACAAGAAAAGGTACATTCATGAATGAAAACACACAGATTACATTTTTTGTCTTGGTTTTTACAAATGGAAATGTTGAAGATTCTCAGTTCCAAGATTTCTGAGACATAGGCTGTAATCAGGTGATCAAACTGTGGTTAAATGCTTTAACAAATCAAGAATAAAATAATAGCCAAAGTCCAGAAAACAGCAAAGAGATTCAAGGGTGAAACTGTAGAACATCTACCAGGAAACACAACTTACAATACAAATACTAAGCTGTTCTCAGAGCAATGCTGAAAGACTGGCAGTTTGCAAATGTGATTCTTCTTCAGGTGTTCCAAAAGGGGTCTGAGGACTACAGATTAGTAAATCTCACTTTACTCTGGGCGCACTAAAGATTGCCAAACACTTCATTAGACAATGAAGGGTTAAGAATTTGTGCCAAGTAGAGGAGGAGATAAGAATAAATTCATTTGAATATGTGTCTAGCAGAGGCTAACAGATGAAGCATATGATTTATTTCAAATTTATGGGCTTCCCAAGAGGCTCGGCGGTAAAGCATCTGCCTGCAATGCAGGAAACACAGCAGGAGCTGCAGGTTCAATCCCTGGGTCGGGAAGTCCCCTGCAGGAGGAAATGGCCACCCACTCCAGTACTCTTGCTGGGAAAAGCCCACGGACAGAGCAGACTAGAGGGCTATAGTCTATAGGTTCGCAAAGGGTCAGACACGACTTAGCGACTGAGCAGCAAGAGATACTTTGATCAGAAAGAGACTAAGAGAAAGGAAGAGCAAAGACTTTCTACAAAATACCCGAAAGGGTCCAAGAAAAGAAATATCTCCAAAATATGTGGAAACCCTCATTAAGTGCTCCAAGACTCCAGCTCTCCTACACACTCCTCTGTTTTTTGCATCATTCAGTTTCACCACTTTATTGTTACACTTCTTGGGTTATTTTAAATGCATCTTTGTTATTGATGTGTTATAATACTATAAAGTATAAATGACATAATGCTATATCCATTAAAAAGAAGATTTGTGAAGTCATTATAGAAGATTTTATGATGTACTTATACTATTTTTTTCTTTAATACCTTCACTGAGATCCATGCCTGGCCTGTAAGACAAAAAAAGCCACGATAACCCAACCAGAAGGGCCACCACCAGATTCACCACAATCCATGGCTGGAGAACCTGCTCCTCAATTCCTTCTGCCCTAGAGGTACAGAAATACTCATCATCAGAAATGTCTTCACTGTGATCCATATATCCAGATATATCTATTTTATAAACTTATAGCCATCCTTATCTAGATGAATAACAAGCATAAAATATAACTTCCCTATGAACTACACTATATATATCATGAGAATTTTAAAACCATAACTTAAAAGATTTAAAACATTGTTTACAAAACATTTCATTAAAAATGCAAGAGTATATAACAATAGTTACCCATTAACCAATGGAATAGGGGGTTTTCTGGCCACAATTTTAGAAACAAAAACAAGGCCCTCATTACTACTTATAGGTGAAAACAAGTAAAAGAGTGAAAAAACAACAATAGCACCATTGCTCCTACTGTCGCTAATATTACGATCAACAATTACTAGTGGTGCTATGAATTCTTACCAGAGGCTGCCGTTAACAGAAGAAGGTGTGTAAAGGTGGATTCTGTCACTTGTCATTTGTTGACTCAGAGATAATGTAAGAGCAGTGAAGTACACTGAGGAAAGACAAATGAATTACTAACAATGTATTTTTAACAACCCAGTTTGTTTGGAATTTATAAATAACTTTAAGGTAAAAAATAATCTGAGCTTTGGGAAATGATGACACACAAAAAATTTCATTTGGTCAATTTCAATAGGCTGGACAGTCTTAGATTATTGTTCAGTACAGGTGGAGAAGGGTCTTTAGATACTCACTATTTTATCATTAGACTGACAAGAATCTAGAAGATCATTTAAGAAATTAAATGATTTAAGGCCCTAAAATTAGTTTTATTAATATTCTCATAATTAGAACAAACTTTACTCCAAATTACCAAAAAGGTAAAAAAAAACCATACTATTTGTTACTAAAATGCCCTATACTCCAAATTACCAAAAAGGTAAAAAAAAAAACCATACTATTTGTTACTAAAATGCCCTATCAGCCCTATTTGTTTAATGTCAAGTAGAAAACACAAAAGTTAAGTATTAAGTAACACAGAACAACAAACTTTAAAAAGTTAGATAACCTCTGCTGAAAAATAATTCTAAACCTCCACTGAAAAATAATTCTAGCAAAATTATACCTCCCATAGTTTAATTACAAATTCCACTGAATATTGATATGAAATGTTTATAAGTAGCAATAATATAAAATCATTTTTAAAATAAAATTATACTTTTTTTCTGATTCAAATTTATACAGTTATGAAATTATTTACTTACAGAAAGATGCTAAAGCTCTTGGATCCAGAGCAAGAAAATTTCGGATTGCTACTGACGTTTTAGCAAAGTCAATCCTAGAAAATACAAAAGCCTCTTGTCACAGTGTAGTTGTAAACTTCTTACAAAACTGTACAAAACTGTAGTCTCTAGACAACAGTTTCTTTCTTCTCTATTTTAATGCTACCACGTGTACTGTCTATTCCAAAGCTTTAAGTAGCTACAGTTTATACTTAACACACATGAAAGAATCTTATTTACAAAGGCCACATATAACATTTAATTAAAAGACTATTTTAGTCATCATTCCTTTAGCGTTAAGAAGAAACAAACTTGGTCAGCAATTTCATTAGATTCTACTTCCTTTTATTACTCATATTATTGAGTGATAAGCTGTTGTTTTCTTAGTGGGTTAAATTGTGTTCGTAAAAAGACATATTGACCTTCTAAACCCTGGAACCTGTGAATGTGACCCTATTTGGAAATAGAATCTTTACTGATGCTGTCAGCTTAAGATGAGGCCGTTACAAGGGGCCCTAATCCAATAACACTGGTGTCTTTATAAGAAGAGACACAGATTCATGGACACACAGGTAAGACTGTCATCTGATAACTGAGGGAGAGGCTGGAGTAATGCATTTACAAGCCAAGGAACACCAAGGACTGCCAGAAACCACTGGAAGCTAAGAAAGAGGCAGGAACAGACTCTCCATGGGGCCCTCTAAAATGGAACCAACCTTGCCAACACCTTGGTTTTAGACTTTTAGATTCCAAACTGTGAGATAACACATTCCTGTTGTTTCAAGCCACCCAGTTCGGGGAACCTTTGTTACAGCAGCCCTAGGAAACTAACGCAATACCCAGGGTCTGGACTATACTGGACTCAGTTCACTGGAAGATGCTTGGCTCTTGTTTTAAACTAACTTTTTGCTTTGTATTGAGGTATAGCCAATTAACAATGCTGTGACAGTTTCAGGTGAACAGAGAAGGGACCCAGCCATAGGGATGCATGTATCCGTTCTCCCCCAAAGCCCCCTCCCATCCAGGCTGCCACCTAACGCTGTGCAGAGCTCCATGGTCTGCACAACAGGTCCCTGTTGGCTAGAGACACAGCGGTGTGTGTGTGCGGGACCTTTTGAGCTGATTGTATTTGGATGAAATTTTGAATTTAGAGTTGGTGCTGGAACGGGTTAAGACTTTGGGGAGTGTTTTTGCTCACGATAGTCCCATCTCCTCCCCCCAAAAAAAGAACAGAAACAGAATGGCCCTTTAATATTAATATTCTGTAATTCTATTTTGAAAATGTCATAGTTTGGCAGGGACACATTTTGCTCAACACTTCCTTCTGAAGAAAGTTAGAGGGGCCTACGGTCACAACAGTCTTACCTGTCAAAGGCTGAAACTGTACTCAGAGCCAAAAGCAAGTAGAGAAGACTCTGGAATGGATATGCTAATGTCTTGTATTGTTGCAGAAGGTTTGAGAGGTCAGAAAGCTCATCTCCTGCCAGAACATAGATCACAACAATGTTCCACACAGCACAGCCAGCCAGGAAGCCATGGGAGAAGACACCAATCATCCTGAATGGAAAACGGTTTTGTTAACATACACGAAAGACTAAAGCAAAAAGCTCACTCTTCAAATCTCTTCACGTGTGAGAATAAAGTTAAACATTTCACAAAAAGCAAAAACAAGCTTTTCTTTTCTCTATACTAATAGGAAGATCATTTAACTAATTCAATGTGTGAAAAGTACATCCACCCACCATTTTAAGTTTTGACAGTATTTTTTAACAGTATTGAACAGTCAACACTTAAAAAAAAAAACTGTGGAACATTTGTCTTGAGAAAAGTCCAACAAAATCAGTCACCGGAAAGCCCGATGCACCGACAGTGCAACATCTCTGGTTGTCCAGGAAGGTTTGGTTGTCAGGCACTTTGGAGAAGGAAAGACAGAAGTGGGATACCTAATGTTCCCAAAGAAAAAGCAACTGCTGGGCAGATCACTGGTACATTTCATGGTCAGTTACTTTACTAAGAGAAGTTTCTGTGCTACAGGAGGCAAGAATAAAAATGAGGATTGAGTGACATTGCTTGAAAATCAGTTCAGTTCAGTCACTCAGTCATGTCCAACTCTTTGCAATCCTATGAACTGCAGCACGCCAGGCCTCCCTGTCCAACACCAACTCCCGAAGTCCACCCAAACCCATGTCCATTGTGTTGGTGATGCCATCCAACCATCCCATCCTGTCATCCCCTTCTCCTCCTGCTCTCAATCTCTCCCAGCATCAGGGTCTTTTCAAATGAGTCAGCTCTCTGCATCAGGTGGCCAAAGTATTGCAGTTTCAGCTTCAACATCAGGCCCTCCAATGCTTGAAAACAGACTGAAGCAAATTAAATGGCCACATGGTACACTAGTCCTGCTGCTTGCTGCGTGCATGCTCAGTCGTGTCTGACTCTTTGCAACCCCATGGACTGTAGCCTGCCAGGCTCCTCTAACAGCCCTTAACTAGAAGTCATGAAACTTTGATTAGAGTCCCAACTCTGTACTAATCAACTCTGAGACCCTGGGCGAGTCCGCCTCTCTGAGTCACAGGTTTCTCACTGGCCAACAACGCCAAGATCCCTTAAGTGGGCTCTTAAGGAATCAGAATTCTAAAACAATTTATGCAAAATCTAAGTTGTAAATTTTAAGGGTTAACCTTTATGTTTTAGATGAGTTCTTTAGGCAGCATGTTCACAGCATATCCATGGGACTAATATATGGTTATGATCATGGTTTCAGGTTTTTCTTAAACACCACAAATATAGTGTTATAACCAATGTGTGCTATATACAATGTCAGAACTATTTCTCTAAAAGAAAACATAGCTATAATGTTCTAATTCTCATTTAATATGGCAATACTATCATGTATTTTCTCTTATTTATTTTTAATGATAGAATTTATATCATTACTTGCTCCACCACCAATATCATTACCAATTGCAGAAAACTCGTAAAGTACAGCAGAGAATAAAGAAATGGGTGGGGGAAAGGGAAGCTTTTTAAATTACCAATCATCTCATAACCTAGAAACAACCAGCATTAACATTTTAGCATATTTTCTTCTAGTGTTTTGTCCTATGCATTTCTCTATAGTTCAAATCTAACTACACAAGTATGTATGTTTACTTTTCATTACCATCTTCCCACGAAGTGAAAATTTCTCCCTAAACATTATTTTTAGTGGTGCAGAAGATTTCATTGTATAGATATGCCATGAACCGTCTGAATCACTCCCCTTCTGTTTTACATTTAGGTTTTTTTCAGTTTTTTGCTCTCATTAATAACAATGTGATGATTAGCTTTATGTATAAATTTTCATCCATATTTTTACTTATTTCCTTAATTCAGATTTCCAGAAGTATAATTCCTAGGTCAAAGGATATCCCTGTATAATTCTTAAGGGGTTCATGTTCCAAAACAAGGATCTACTTACTGCTTTTTTCCACAAACACTTTGCCTACAGGCTGGCTAATGCCCATGGGTGCAGTGAATACAGATTGTTGTTCTGGACTACTTTGCTCATCAGTAATTATGTCTTCATCTTCAACTCCTAGTTCATTGGCATAATGTAATTCCACTGGCTGGGTTTTCCTGTAATCAAGAATGTAAGAAAAATGGATGATTACTGACCTTTTATAGACCCAAATAAGGAGGTTCTTGCAGGTCTAATGGAAAGAACCCTGGATTTGGAGTCAGAAAGTTTGGTTTTTACTCAAATGGATCAGTTATTAACTGCTATGTACAGCAAGTCACTTACATTTCTGTGGGCCTCAGTTTTCTCATCTGGAAAATGAAGTGACTGAACTAGATTTGAAAGGTTCTTTATAGACTTAAAATTATATGATTCTATATAGACACTGATCACTATGTGTAGGGTCATTTCCAAATATGAACAACAGTGTTATATACTTTCCAGTACACTTCTTTAAAGTATACCTTTCTATTTCACCTGGGACTTAATTTTCTATGCTGAAATAAACATTTTATGTATTGTTAGAATAATCATAATATGAATTCTATTAATATGAGGAAATAAATAATAGTCTACCTTATTAATATCACCTTTTTTAATACCTTTAATATGTAATATTTTTACTACTTATAAAATCTTATATTTGTGTTTCTCTTCTCTAGACACAGCTCCTAAAATATTTTATTTAAGTATAATATTTTACTTTTCTCAGTGGGCTTACTCTTTTCAAAGTTATCCTTAACCGGGATGGGGAATACATGTAAATCCATGGCTAATTCATTTCAATGTATGACAAAAACCACTGCAATGTTGTAAAGTAATTAGCCTCCAACTAATAAAAATAAATGGAA